AGTCTTCTGTGCTCATCAGATCAGTCGTGGTCTTGTGTGTCTGAATAGTGTTTTGAACCCCCTGGTTTACCTCCATGTCATGGATATTCCTGCTCAGCTCCAACAGCTGCTTCAGTGGTTTCGTCAGACATTTACTCGTTTGTTTGTGTCAGAATACGGCAGTGTACCCGTGGAACAAACAATGACCACAACAATATCTTAACAGTAAATAATGACTTTGACTTTGTCTTTTAGAGTAGAGTGTAAAGACTGTTTTACGTATTATACTGTCTATACTATCTTTTTCGGGATAACAGTTTTGGCTCAAATGGATTTATAAATAAAAAAGCTTTGTTTCTGTGTTTGTTGTTCTTCTGTTGCCCTGCATCGAAAATTGCATTATTGAAAATTGCATTATTCAAATTCTTTACAGCAACATCTTTTTTGTCACATTGAAAATATAAACAACCACTGAGACATGACTACACATGCGTAGGGGATTGGAGGCAAGACAACAGAAACTAAAGACTAGATAAGAAAGCTAAGGTGATCTCAACAAATGCTAAACAGAGGAATAGCTATAGTAACTAACACAAGGAACTGCTTCTTAACCTGCCATAGAAATGCTGGGTCACAGACCGAGGACCGTGACACTTTTAATTTAAGCAAAGATCAGGAAAGAGCGCTGGCAGATTAGTATCATTTATTTTATGTTCACTGACACAGTTTTCAGGTTAGTAACCACTTTTCTTTAGATTTGTGTAGGTTATGTGTACAGCAAAATAATTTCCCATAAAAAACATCTGCTGGATTATTACGTTTGTATAGCAGTAGAACAGTGTTGGTGAAATTTAATCAGCATTAACTTTTGTTTCATGCCTACTATAAGTAAGCTTGGCAGTGAACATGTGATTCATATTTGACATGAGATACACAATATTTGGCTTTTAGTTTGCTCTGGAATTCTAATGTATAGTATTTGATGTATACTGCTCTAAGCAAGGGCACACACACACACACACACACACACACACACACACACACACACACACACACACCCTAGATTCATTATTTTTATAAGTCATAACATTTTTTGAACTGTAAATGACAGTAAAGAGTTATCCTTTCTAAGAAAGTAATTGATGGATTTCTAACTATAATATTTTTTTTATGTATTTCTCTCCATCTTTTTGAACTTAAAAATGTAAAATGTTTAATTGACTATTGACATTCTTTTCTTGTTAATCCCATACTGTACAACTAGTCTGTCAAATGGAATAAAGTCTGTTCATTCTAATATATGTTGTAAGTATTTCATTCCTTGACAACTCCAATCTGGGAAGGTAATCATATTAATGTTCTGTATTATGTCACAGTTGTTCCAGATTAGTGTATGTTTGCATGAGATTAATGAAGTCAATTTTAAAAACTTCCACCATGCTTTCAGAGAACTTTTGCTTTCACATTTAAACTCCAAACAGAGGGAGACTTTAACCTTTTGTTTCAATCATAAAACTGCCGACAGGTTGGGTGAGCAGTTTTATGATGTTTTATAATAATAATAAACTTTATTTATAAAGCACACTTAAAACCAAGGGTATACCAAGGTGCTTAATAAGTAACATAGAGAATAAAAGGAAGATAATAGAAATAGGACCAAAGCAGGTATGCAAGCAGATAACTGTCACTGATACATGGAAGAAGCAGCAGATACAGAACAAACAAGGAATTAAATTAGCATAAAAGTGCATAATGTAAAATCATAAGTGAAATGTTAACTAGAAGGAATGAATATATATATCTTAGGGGTGCTACAATGTATCTGTATTGAATGGTTCAATACAGTGCTTTTGGTTCGGCACGCATATGTATTGAGCAATGCTGAATTTTTAATTTATTTTATCAACTTTTCCTCTGACGATGCTGTCTGTGTTGAGAGCTCAGTGGATCTGTGTTCGACTACTCTGCCTAGGCTGCACTGTCGAGCTCAGATCCACTGAGCACCCATACGCATTCACTCATGCTAGCGAGACAGAAGTTAAGCTCATTGCAACATGGCAACTGCCTCAACGCTACCCGAAATTGAACCTCCTCTACCATCATTGAGATCTGGCGTTTGGAACTATTTTGGTTTTCATGTGAAGCATGACCCTGATGGTAAGCGTGGACAAAAGTACAACAGTAAGTCGGACGTGCCAGGCAATGCTCAATTACATCGGTGGAAACAGACAAGCACGCATGCTACAAACTTTACCCGAGACAGCCGTTAGCACATGATTCTTAGAGGGCAAAAGAAACAGGGCAATGGCTACTTTTATAGCTGTCGACATGCGACCATTTTCTGTTGTAGAAAACAACGGGTTTCAGGAAAGGCTGAGAGTACTTGAGCCCCGTTACAACTAAGTGCTAGCACTCCAGAAGATGAGTGTGAGGGGAGGTTCTTCAGAGAGTAGTTCCTTTTAAGGGGGCCTGATATGTTTAATATGCTGCTGAGAATATACCCCAGAAGAAGGGTACAGTATAGCTTTTCCACATATGAGTGATTTCTCGAGTTAAAAGAAATATGTATAATTTTAATCAATTACAAATTAAAAAAGGCATGAACATTTTTTTGTATCGAAAAAATATCGAACCATGACACGAAAGTATTGAACTGAACCGAATACCATTTGCTAAAATGAGATTTACATGTATTAATACTGACTGCTAGCCTTTTAGACAAGGACAAGGACATTCTTTGTCGGCCTACTGTCAACCTCATGTTTACAGTACAGTATTTACTTTTAGAAATCTCTTATGTCTTAAATTACACACCAGGGTGTGTATGAAATTGTTGGTGTAGTGCATTTCAAGAGTCACAGAATCACAGAACGCTAATTCAGTGCTATTCCATAACAGCTAAAACACCGTCACTCTCCGCTAACACCTGAACCGGAATGTTTCCGGTTTATTTTTATTTATTTTTCCTTTTTTTTTTAATTTTGTTTTTTTTTCTCTCTCTCTGTCTTCTCTTTCATCCCTCCAGCTCACCCTTCTCCTTGCTTGTTTTTACGCCCTTCTTTCTTTCACTGCATGGATCACCCGTTTCCCTATGCAACCAGAAACAACAGCCTCTATTTCTACACACTCACACAGCATGATCACACACACATATGTGATTAACGGGAGCACATTCACAACAGTCTCACAGGGACATATAGGTCACGCACACTCAAGCTCATACACTCCTGGTCATACTAGTTGATATGCTCACACATAGTCAGACTTATGGAGCCTCTTGCCACACATTTTTCTTCTTTTTATTTACAAACAAGTGATGTTTTTCCATTCTCTTCACCCATCTAAGTGGAACACGCAGCGTTCATCATTACATCATTACGCACAGGGGAAAGAGGTCAAAGTAATTTAACCAGTTCAAAAAACTACAGGCAGGCGTTGCTTTATTACAAGAAACTCAGAATTATCACAGGTTTAAACACCTGAGTTTCCTAATGTGCTCGCAGCCTGTTACAATTCTAGACAAAGGGTAGTAGCAACTTTAATTCATAACTTTCACATTCCAAACAAGGCCCAAAGGCAAGATTAAGATTGCATACATATCTATTAGACGTGTTGCATTTACTTTAGATCTCAGTCTTATGCTTCAGTGTGCAGGGTTTCAAGGTTGAACATGACGTATAAATTGTAAAAAAATAAAAATAGGGTGTGTTTTCTTTCACTTTATGACATATAACTCTCCATGAAGGGGGAAGATTGTGCAGACTTTACTTTAGAAGCACAATGAATAACAGATCCTGTACTTCAGGCAACTTAAAACTCCATGAACACAAAATTCTACCTGCCATTTATGCCTTTGTTATGATTGTTGGTCTGGGAGGAAATGGATTGGGACTAAAGTCTCTGCTGCAGAAAAAGAAGAAACTTCGACACATTAATCTGTTCCTTCTGAACCTTGGAGTTGCTAATTTTTTGTTCCTGCTAACACTCCCATTTTTGTCAGCGTACTACTTTATGGACAGTAAATGGATATTTGGAGATGCCTTCTGCAAGATCACAAGATTCTGCTTCAACCTGAATTTATACGGCAGCATTGGATTCCTCACCTGTATAAGCGTGTACAGGTACCTGGCTATTGTCCATCCAATGAGGATGATGGGGAGAATAACTGTGACTCACTCTGTGGCTATCTCAGTTTTGGTTTGGCTGTTGGTGAGTGCTCAAAGTCTTCCAGATATCTTCTTCTCCAAAATCTCACCAAATAAAACTGAAAAATGCTACCATACCACCTCTAACAGAGTATGTGGAGGATTACCTGAAATACAGTGTGTGGCTGGACATCTACTGGGTTTGTTTGCCACTCCTTATTTTTCTTGGCTGCTAGGACATGTGACTCTTGTTCTCTGTCGCAAATACCATAATAGAGGTGGTGAACAAAACAAGTTCTTAAAGTTGTATTCATCTTTGCATTTTGCTCTTCTCGGTCTGTTACATCCCCTATCATATTTTAAGAACCTCAGCCTTTATTCAAGAGTTTTGTCAAAACAAGAGAAATGTCCAGATTGGAATGAGGGAGTCTTTGGGGCTCATCAAATAAGTCGTGGAATTGTGTGTTTGAACAGTGTTTTGACTCCCCTGGTTTACCTCCATGTAAAGGATTTCCCTACTCGATTCCAACAGCTGCTCCAGCAAACTCGCCAGATCTTTAATTGGCCGAAATCAAGGAGTGGCAGAATCCCTGTGACACAGTCTGATAAAGTTTAACAAGTTTGCCATATGTTAGAAATCTTAAAAATGTTTTAAATAAACCAGCTCTACACGCATGCATCTTTGTTGTAATTGTAATCCCACTGTACAAAATTTCACTGGTTTTGACTAAGTCAGTGCGGCACCCATGAGTATTTTGGGCATCAAGAACAAGTCTCAGATGTGTTCCTTATGTGTTCGTGCAAGAGGTTGTCAAATGTGCAGAGAGGCTCAGCCTGGTGACCTGTGTAGACACTGTTACCGTTGTGTTCAGGAGTGTCACCTGTCTCGAGGGTGTATACAGGAAACAGGAGCGGGCTACTGAACTACAACCCACAGTAGCCCACTCATCATCCAGGTCCCAGGTAAATCCCATCTCTGTGCAAAACATCTCGCATCAACAAGCACCACAAAATGACTCTACACACACTGAAACTGTCCCCAAAGAGCCAAACAGCAACAAATTGACAAGCGACACATCTAATGGTTATATACCCTGATAACAGCAAACCAAGCTCATCAGTCTCACTGGGAAAAGATGTACAGTTCAGTGTCACCTGGATAACGTACCAGTAGAGGCCCTGTGGGACACCGGAGCTCAGGCAAGTCTTATTAAGAATGAGTGGCAAAAAACAACACCTACCACACAGCACTGTCAGGCCACTTGCTGAGCTTTTGGGAACAGAACCTCTTGTCGCTTTAGCAGCTAATGAAATCCCATATGATGGGTGAATAGAGACAGAATTCTATTTGGACTGTAACCCTGAAAATTGTCTTCTAGCTCCAATGCTTGTATCCAGTGACCCGAGTGTTGCTCAACTGCCCATTACTGGATTTAATGTAATAGAGGAAGTTGTGCGTAAATGGGGCAAGTGTCAACCAAGATCACGCAACATTAAAAAAATCAGCTCAGTATTGGTAAACACTGCTAAATCAGTGCTAAAACTATTGCAGTCACCAGACCAAAGCCAAAGTTTGGACACAGTACTGGCAGGAAAGAGAGGACGATGTCTGGCTGCTGAACAGATTACCACTACATATGTCCGTGCACATATTGGTGCGCAGTTTTCAGGACAGAGTCTGTTGTTTGTCCCAAATGAACCATCACAGTTGCCTGAGGGTCTTGTCATGCAAGAGGGACTGGTCACAATAACGGAGGGCAGGGCAGTGTATAACCCAGTTGCGATAGTTAATACCAATAAAGGGGATGTCAACTTAATTCCTCACACTGTTCTAGGACATCTGGAAGAAATAAAAGCAGTGTACCCCATCACCCCTGAAAAGACGCAAGACTCGG